AAAATAGAAGGGAGAAGTGTCACCTGTTAAAAGCACAGCTAAACTTGGTATTTTTAAATTCTAGGACCACCTTAAATATTGACTCTTACCTTCTTCCTACCTGTATGTAGGAATCTGTGCTGCTTTCTCAGAAGAGATAATATACAGATGATTTTCTTTGTAAACTGAAGTGACCAAGCTACATCATGGGAAAACACTCCCACAGAACCCAAAACCGTGGCAATTTCCAGGAATTTCTGCCTGCCTACCCACATCTACTTCAGCATTTCAAGTTTGCTTGTTGAAAAGGAAAGCTCTGAAAGAGCAATTTAAACCCAGGGAGATATTACGCTTACCTGACTGCGTCATCGATAAAGATTCATCAGACCAGTTGTGAGATATCTGATGAGACTTCACAGGTGACCGTAGCTGTCCCCCAGTCCTGTGGCTGCCTCTGCTGGAATCTTGCTTTGATAGAGACGTGCTGCTTTTGGGAGGCGACTACAGGAGAAGAGGACAACATAGAGAACAGTTTGAAAGTAGGAGATCATTGTCATCAGGAGCTCGTTTCAAGGAGAGAACAGCACGACTAGAGAACATCTCATGAGCAGTGGTAGCTACCCAGCTATCTAAAGAGAATTTAATCTTAGTTTGCTAGGCAATAAAACAGAAATACCACGAGCAGCAATAGCTGACTGCTTACTTTTGAGCCTAGATTTCAGTAAAGCTGCCAAGACCGCTCTGTTACCACCTAAGCGAACTGACACGCTTCTGACTCACAGGTGTTCAATAGAGTGTGTGGAATCTTATTTGGTAACAACCGTGGCAACCGTAACTCCTGGTAAATGTATTTGTGAACTCCAAAGGACCGTTTCACGTGAGGGCTGCAAGATGACATTCTAAATCAGTAAAACAACACAGCACTCTTTCTCTGAGGCCAGGCAAAGAATTCTAGGAGCAAATATCCTTCCAAAATGCTGCTTGCTGCTTCAACATTACACTACAAACCTTTTACCCATCTTGCACATAACCTCTGGCACGTATTAGACATTTTACCTCACCATCTTCTCAGCAAACTTTCCAAGAAAGTACTCACAGTAAGTCTAGGAAAGCAGTTCTTTTACCCCACAAACACTGCATTTTCTGTCTCACTGAGCAGAGGGCAAAGTTAGCAGGTTGCAAATCATCAAAAGGACCAACCACGTCGAAATAACAGTTGGCATAGAACGATAAGGCAGGCTTAGCTAGCAAGCATAATCTGAAACCCAAAGGACCGTGCACGAGGTTTACAGCTCTGCTATCATCCTATAGCTGTAACTTTGGGATGCTTTATTTGCAAATAAAGCAAAGAGGAAAAACCGAGCATAGTTTCCACGGCCTCAAAGAATTTCTACAATGGTAACAAGCTAGCCTACAGCTAATTCACACTGTAAACTGGGTCAGTGTTCCACCACTTCATACCGCATACCTACGTGATGTACGCAAAAACATTCTGCAAGACTAGCCACAAGTTTAAAAACACCTAAACTCTGTGCCGAAGCAATTTTTCCTCAAGACTTCAAAGAACATATCTGATCACAATCTTTATTCACAGTAATGTAAAATCGTAGAAAGTGGCATCAAACGCTCACTCACGAGTTTGCCAGGTGAGGTAGAGGGCTTGAACTCTTCAGAATAAACCAGTTCCTCGTTAGCCGTACTCTGATCCGGGCTTTCCGGCTGCCCGTGGCCCATAGTCTCTGATGGGACAGACTCAGCGGCGAGACTGCCAAGATCTTCTGGGATAGAGGTTTCACTGTTCAGATGAGAGCAAGAAGGCACTGGAGACTCTTCCTCACTAGCCGTTTCTGAGATTCAGTAAGGAGAGAAAAAACAAAGCGCCTAAGAACCTGCACTGATTTATACGCCCTCAGAGACACTGCTGCCCGCACGTGAAGGAAGGAGGAACTGCTACCAACACATGTCAAATGGGTAAGTGTTATTTCACTCATCTAGACACCGAAGGTGGAATATTTAGCAAAAACAAGCATGTTTACCACAGAACTATGATTTAACACTGTCAAACGTTCTTGGTGATGGCTGAATGTCCGAAATATAGACGTTTTCAGGTCATTCTAACATTTTCCATACAGCACACTCCGAAAAGATTGTTAGGGAAACCTGTCCTTCCAGTTGACCGTACGGCAGCAAGAGTCACTATTAGTCTGAAGAAGTCAAGGAGGAGCATATAATCTGCAAGCCGGATCTTGAATTTAGAATTGACTGCTTCCTTTACAGTAGTTGCAGAAAACATTTTAATGTTATGATTTCATCATGAGTCTCTCAACTGGCAACAAGTAAAATAATAAGTTGGGTTTTCAATATTCCTGTTTACTAAATTCCGCCGGAGTCCCAGCATAACTGAAGCAGCCACAGAGCACTATTCGATATCTGAGCAAAGGCTGGGGGGGGAGGAACTTCTTCTGAAGCAGGGCCGTGCTCCAATGCTTACTGGTAGAGACAATGACTAGAAAGCAAGCATACTTCCTCATCTGCTGATGAAAATTCAGCATTCATGCTGCGTGTCTGTTCATTGGAACGTACTGACTCATACACATATCTTCTTTTTAAGCGTCTTACAATGCCTAAAATCCACATGACTGTTTTCAGGAATGAGTGTAATAGGTCTGAATTCCCTTTGCATATTCAAAGGACATGCTGCCTGCTTTTAGCAAAGCAGGAGAAAAGCGAAAATTGGTTATTTCTAGAGCAGTCCCTAAATTTTTGTTATTTTTTCCCACTGCAATCCAGTTCTCTGTTCTACATTCTGAAAGTACAGTCCACTTGAGACAGAACAGTAAAGCTGGGAACTTATTTTTCCTCACAATAGCATCATTTATACTAATTACATCTGTGCTGGGTTCAGTCAGGA